CTAAAATAAAGTAAACCAAATTTTTTGGTACAGAAGAGATTTGCAGAGAAAAGGATCCTATAAAGATGGAATGAAGATGGTTCTAATAATGAAAATTATATGTCAAAGAAAACCTCTTTTTTTTTTTTTTTTTTTGTAGGGGAAGATGTGTTAATCATTCAAGAGGTTTTACATTTTAGACAGGTGGCATTGTGGTTAGTTAATTTCATTTTGTGCTCCCATTTTCTTAAAGATAATGTGAAGAAAATATTTGATTTTTGGATTGATTTACTATGAATTAAAATAAAATAAAATTTAATTTTTTTTTAGTATAAGTTATTAAGAAATGTTAGGTTTCAAAACTAATCTAAAAACCTTGTTTAATTTATAAGATGAGTAAATGAGCTTAAGTTTAGTAGTAGCTTAGTTTCAATAAATTGATTATGATATTGTCAATAAGTTGCTGTTAGAGGTGTGCTTTGGTTTGTGTATAAATAAGTGGGCATAGTTTATTTTGACTGTCTTCAAGAGATTGTTTGTTTGTAATCTCCAATAGGAAATTGAACTTCAGTATTGGAACTTGAGTAGACATATTTCAGGATTTTGATGTCTTGCAAAAGTTTATTGGCCATATAATCAATTAATTATAAGTCAATATTTATTTACAATCATGAAATTATTAGCATAAAGTGGCACATTTTGACTGTTACATATTTACTGGTTATTTGTTTCAAGCTTTATTCTTCTGCAACTTGTAGAAAATAGTCAAGTGTTTCTAGGTTTGTTCAGATTATTTTAATCTTTTGTGAAATTCATAGATTTTCAAATAATCCAAAAAGTAACATCTAAAAAGTTATTATAATGATATTAGAATACTGTACAATTCCATATGATTTCATTCTGTAATTTGCTTTAAAACTTATTCAGAAATTCACTATTCCTAGACTTGTATGTTTTTGCTGGTGGAGGGTATCATATAATCATTGTGGGTTTACAAAATGTACAAAAGAGGGAAATTATCACTACATCCAGAGGAATTATTTTGGTTTATCTAAATTACTTTAAATGATGTTGCTGAACAGATGATAGTTTTAGGTATTGATCGAGCTTATGTTTCATGCCCATTCATCACTGCATTTGGCCTCAGCCTAATGCATTTAATTCTTATATAAATGGTTTAGTATGTCTGGTGGTATCATATAATTCTAATCAGTCAGTGAAGATACACGTCTTATATAATTCAAAGAAGGAAATGATAATAATTGTCCAATTAACTGAAATCATCAGATTATTAACAGCCTATTAATCAGTAACTCGTAGGTATTTGTTTTGACATGTCATTACAAGAGAGATTGTTTTGTACCAAATGGAAATTTTAGCTTAGATCTGTAACTGATTGGTAAAGCTTGGGATTGTGACTGTTTTACACAAGATTACATCTTGTACTACTCAATAGGAAGTTAATCTTAGGTCTTGTAACTGAAATAAGCATAGTTTAGGATTGTGATTGCCCTTCATAAAATTACTCATTATTATATTTTTGGATTGCAATAAAAATAACTAGGATTTAAATGGCAAAAGGATTAATTAATGTGAAGTAATCGTTTACTGCTTAAAATAAGAGGTTAAACTCAGTGGTAAAGCATAACAAACACACAGTTTTTGAACATAAGAAATGAAAGAAAATGACAAAAGAAGTCTGTAGCTGAAAACTAAAATTTGTTAAACTGAAGCAAAATTTAAAGTGAACAATGATTTTGTTGAAATGAAATAGATGCTTAAGTTAAAACTATACCAATTTTAACTGAACTAAAAATGAAGATAGGATTTACCTAACACAGAATTAGAGCAGCACTAAATTTTACAACTATATCTAGTCTCTTTCAAGTTAAAGACTGAACTTCTTGCCAGAATCAAAACAACAGTCAGCAAATCACACGTAGAATTCAGTAATATCTTCACCTCAGGTCAGTTATAAAACTAGCTTCATAACAAGTGAGGTTTTTGCCAGTAGTAACTATCTCATAAGATAATGATACCATCTTTGAGCTACTCTTGCATAGAGACTACTACCCAATTCCCAGTGTATCATACAACTAACAACACTTGTTTAAGAAAACGAATTAATCTGTGTCTAATACATGAATGAGCTATAAAAAAAGAAAGGTATATAATAGTTTCATATCATAACAATTGAAAATTTATATTTGGTCGTGTGACTATCTTGCATAATTGGACTAAAAATTGATTGTATGAGTAATTTTATATTATTTGAATTGTGATTTTTATAATTAACCACTATTAAGTCTGGTAAGTCATTTATTATTGCATAAATGTTCAGTGAATTCCCACCTTAAATTGCTAATAATGCTTACATCTCTACTGACACATTATCACAACAGCCAGTGATTATTAACTGTACCAAGTAAAGTATTAATAATACTGGTTTTGATGTTGAAACATATTTTTGAAAACATTTATTAAGTTAATAATTTTGGTAAAATATTATTTTCCATTTAAAAAAGTACTGTAATTAAAATGTAATGTTGAATTTGTAAGTGAGACAAAGAGTAGAATTTGTTTTTCTAATTTTTCAGCGAGTATTACTTTAGTGAAGAAAATCTTCAGAGAGATTTTTTTTTGCGCCGAAAAATGGATCAACAGGGATATCTTCCAATCAGCCTGATAGCAAGTTTTCATCGTGTTCAGGCTCTTACTCAGGATGTAGCTCTTGTGACAAAGGTAACTTGATATCTCTTGTATATTTCTGAACTATAGCTTAATTTTACTTTACACTCCCATTATTATTAGTTTAAATAATAAACCCAGTATATCCAGTTTGGTAGTTACTCTGAAATATCTTTGAGTGTCCACCAGAAGATTCTAAAAATTTAAGTAGATTATTCTAGACATCATTATAGTCTTTTGTGTTTAGTAAAAGATTTTTTATTGATTCATATTTGCTCTTTTTTTCTTCTGACTCTGTTCACCCAATTTTTGAATTTTGTTTTGTAACCCCTTAGAGAAAGTATTACAAAATATATGTTAATCATCCTCACTCTGGTACGAAATAAAACTTTTGTCTCATTATCTCATATAAAAGAACTGAAATAAAAATTTCAACTGTTGATTGGAATATTAATCTTGTTATTTAACTCCTTTCTTACTGTGACCCTTTTCTGCACGTCACAAGATTTTACTTAGTTACATTTAAAATTTAATTAAGCTATTTTGTGATCAATTTTATCAATGAAATCGGCATTAAAATTTACATTATAATCCAAAGTTTTATATTATCTAAGTTTCAATTCCTTTATTTCAAAAGAAACTATAAACAAAAATTCTTAAAGTTTGGTTTTATTCTCTCATGCTCTGCAGATTTTGAAAAAGTTACATTTGTGTCTTTGTAGCTTGAACAGTTCTTGACTCATGCTAACCTTCCATATATATAGAAAAAATCTAGGTTAAATTCACTGTTAACATATTCTTCTTTCAAGTTCTGTAGGGCACGTACATATACACTGTTTATGATATGCCAATAATATCTAGTGTTGAAAAATTTTTGTTCGTACGTTTAACTTGTTTCAAATAAAAATATTATTTTGAAAACAAGTGAAGTGCATGCTGTTAATTTATCATTGAATTTATAGCTACCAAGTCACAGACATCTATGTAGAAGAATCCTAAACCCAACAAAAACAGCATATATTTATACTATTAAGAAATATATAACTAAAAGCCTTATTATTTTGACAATTGGCAAAAAAGAAGAATATATATATTTTAAATTTTGACACTGAGAAATTGCAATTCTAAATGCACAAAGTAGGCATGGCATTTGTGAAGAGTTCAGAGAAATGTATTTCTCCTTTCTACAAATTTCTCTCCTTCTTGTCAAAAATCCACTTATGCCTATTCAATAACTTTAGAATTTCAGTTGACAAGCCGAACTATCTTCTCTATTACTATCACAATAGTATTGGCACGAGTTAGTGTAATCGTTTGGTCTTCTTTCTTCTGAAGATCTTCTGTTTCTTTTGTCAAAGTGCACACAGGCTTTTATATATTATTAATATATAATATGTTATTTTTCTTATCTCCGTTTCTACTGTTAGTCTTACTCTAACATATTAAATGTTAGGCCTGTTACTTCTACAGCAGCTAACTTCACACCAAACCTTCCTTTTGTAACTTTACTTTCTTCTGCTATAATCTGTCTGCTTCTCTCTGCTGTTCCCACTCATCTGTCTGCCTTCTATAGTCTTGACATCAGTGTAGTGCAAGTGACGTTCGATAGTCTCAACATCAATAAATTATTAACAAAACTTCGTACAATCGTCTGATTTTAACTCTTATTATACCAAAAACTAAACAGTCATGTATATCATGACACTTGGCTAATTATACTTAATTGAGCTAGATGTTTATAACCAATGGAAAGAGCGTTTTTTGAAGTACTTTCTTATAACTGTTATTTTAAAATAGGCACGAAGAATTATATAGAGAACAAGTCAAACTACTTTTAGCATTGTTGTTGCTTTGTCCCTGCCACTTTAGTAATTTCTAACCTTGAAATACATTAGTTAGATAGACAGTTGAATTGTATTTAGGTTTTAGTTTTATATTTTGCTTAATTATGTGTTATTTATGTTTTAAGATGCCTATTCAAAAGGTTTAATAACTTTTTTTTTTATATAAGCCAATGGCTGCTTGATTCACAAGGGATAGTGTAATTTGCAAATGCCACCACGTTCTGCCTAGGGCTAAAATTTTTCTGCCTAATATATGGCAGTATTGGCTGGGGACACCCATTGATGTATGTTGCGATAAATAACAGTGCTAAAGGACAGGAAAGGAAAATAAATTATTAAAGTAAATTATATGTGCAAAAAAAAAGTTGTTTTGGAATAATTTGATGAAATATTAAAAGGTATGTACATTTTACCAATGTCTTAATTGGAAACATATTATTGTAATGTACTATAGACTATATAGTATAAGTTGATAATAGCTACAGTCAGTAATATCATAGAGAAAGTGAAAAAAATATATGTATAATCATTTAACTTAAATTAAAAATAACCTTTGATATTCACCTTGTTATATCATTAGTAAAGGAATATGAAAGTAAAGGAATATCAAGAATACTCCTATTTTCTGAATTATAATAATTCCTTTATACACTGTGCAATAAAAACTAATTACCTATAATTTGTAGTCTCTCAACAGTTTGTTTCATTTACTACAATGATTGAAAATAGATCCACTGATGATTTGAGTTTATATTTTTGTTTAGGTTTTGCAAGTCATCACCTTAATTTTAAGGTAGATCACAAAATTTGATAGAATAATTTTGATCATTAAATGATCTTTTCTGTAATACGTTACTCCAAAGAAAGTGACTTAGTGTTTGGACCTCTCCAAGCATAGCTCAGAGCATTATCTAAATGTTTATTTTATAAAGAACTAATATTGAGTTAAAGTCAACATTTTAATGATAAAATGTAATATTGCAGGCTATATTTTTAGTGTTTTAATTTAGACATTTGTATTGTTTGTTAAAAGGTGTTTTGATATGATATAATGAGCATGTGATGTCTGTAATTTTCTTGTATGTTTGGGAAATGATATGAATGATATAAAATGCCAGTTTGACTAGAGAAGAGTGAACTGTTTTTTGTGTAAGCAAGTGTTTTGTTTAGTTTTACATTATACATGCTCAGTTGATCCAATTTTATAAATTTTTAGTTTATTTTTCAATGATGTAATAAAACTATGGAAGAAGTTAGCAAGTAAATGACTAGCACAATTTATGAAGTTAGGCCCATATCTCAGTGAACTTGTTCAACTTATGGTAGAAGAAATGAAATGCTTTTTTTATAAATCTCTCACTGTGGACTCAGTCAATTTGTACTGACATTACTACAGTTTTTATTTTCCATTCATTTATTTTTTAGATTTTTTTTTAACTAATGTGTAAACAGAAGTAAGAATATATATTAAAATATCTGATAGATTGAGTAAATAATAACATTCTGTTAATGTTTCAAAGAATAAAATTGTTTTTCCACTGTTAGATGCACCGTTACATAATTAGAGATACGAGTCAATACACTATCACACTTTGATAGTCGTGACAGTTTATAATATCAGCTTTCTCTATTTCAATTAAAATAGATGATTAATAGTCAGAATAATAGTGGCAGTCTAATTATATCTAGTCTTTATTGTATGCAACTTGTGTATAAAAAAAAAATACATCATCTCTTTATTTGTGACATGAATTTTTAAGACTTTAATTTAATGCTATAATTCAACAGTGCCTAAATACTGGAACAGTAAAGTGCTTTTTGATGGACTTGACTCATAAAAAAAATCTGAGTCGTATTCTTCTTATAAATAAGTCACTTTTTTTTTCTTTTGTAGAATTTCTGTAATATTGATCAAACTAGCATTTTTCTTTCTTTCTTTTCTTTTTTTTTTTTTTTTTGAGAAAATTAGAGCCCAACAATACAACAAAGGGCCATTAATCCAAGTTGACAATCCACAGTTATAAAGAATAATCAACAGATATTTGCAGGACAGAAAATATTTTTGAAAAACCTATAAAGATTAAAACTGTATACTAAGTACAGGTTTATCAGTATTCAGAGGAACATATTGAGTATCAGCTAGAAGTAATTTTATTTGTGAGACATACAAGTTATATGTATAGAATAATATTTGTCAAGCTTACATGCTCAGTTTTAAAAGCTGACAGAATTGAGATAATTGAGTTACTTCATTATAAAATCAAAAGGATGTAGCTTCATCATTGAAGAAATGCCAAAGTTAAGGTTGATTGATAGAAAGAGCAGTTGCAAATATTTTATAATTTAATTTTGTTTGGCTATTTGTTTTTAAATTAATTATTTTGAATATAGAGGAAGAAAACTGCTTTTTCACTCTCCCATGACATCATACTTACAAACAGTAATGTTCATTTTAATTGAATCATGAGTGTTATATGAATAGTTTAAGTTTTATCTGTGTTTATCAGTTTATAATTTGTTCTTTTGTTTATATAAGTGAATGAAATTTTGATTCGTATCCATGTTCTTCAGGCCTTGAAAGATAGTGTTGAAGTTGAAATTAATGACGGAGTCAGAGTAAGGACAAAAACAAACCCAGAAATGTGGCCAATACCAGATCCCATTTCATCAGAACTTCATCCCAATGTTCCAGCCTTTGTTCCTGGTCAACCTTATCCTGTATTGCCTGGTACTATTTTGCTGTGTATATTACTTGTTTTGGAAATATTAACTTATCATTCAGTTTTTGGCATCAGTGTAAAAGATCCAACAATAAATGCTTTGCTGTTGGTTGGCATGAAATTCTAACATTGTTTGAAACAAGTAGTATAAGTTAATTTTTCCTCACAAAAAAGTTATACTAATTTTAATTGCCAAATCTGTTTATTTTTGCATGTATGCCTTTATTTTTATGATCTTAAGCTTTGAAATGTATGAAAATCAAGTAATTAATCTTGCTTTAACATTTGACACTTTTTTTCTTGTTTATGCATGGATGTAGCTATTCTGTTACTGCAAGGTATCTTAACATTAATATTTGGAAAGCAAACAGTAGTTGCTGAACCATTGTGCAATTTTTTGAAACTTAACAAAAGCAAGACATTGGTTAGGGTAGATTAGAGAATTACTTTAGCTTGTTACTGGATGGGCTGTTCAGTTTTTGAATATAAGCAGACCTTTAATGATATTTATTTACCATTTAATTTCCCAAACTTCCCTTTGAAAACATAAGAAGAAAATGGGTCAAATTGGTGGTCAGAACGTTAGCCTACTTTGATGAAATATTACAGTAAACATAGATAAATCATGACCAAAAATAAATTTGCTGACTTACTTTTAGTTGATATTGTTTATAAACTTGTTTTTTTGTTGTTGGTATTTTTAAAGTTTTGTAGTAACTGTCAGGGAATTATGGGGAGTGCCCCAAAATGTGACCACATCAACATGATTTGTTTGTGCCCATCATAAGTATGGATTTGTTGAAATGCTGCCATGCATATCCACTCAGCACTTCATCTCAGCTAGTAAAGAACAAACAGACTCGTACTAGGTTTATTGATTTCATCTTGTTTGTTAATGTTGATGTGTATTATTAGCTGTTAAGATCTTTTGGAATGAATTTAATGTTTTATAGTTATATTTTTTTTGTCTCTGTCAAAAGAATTTCAATTCTTGTATTCTTCAAGATTGGGATACTGGTGCAGATGCTGACAGTGAGTCAGAACCAGAATGTGACAACAGTGAGCACTCCAATCCACCTCTCGTTGCAGAAAATGGTAAATGCCTAAACATCAGTAATGTTGAACAAGAGAATGACAACACCGATAAGCCATGTCAAGAAGACATACTAGGCAACTTTTCACGTCGACAAAATCTTGCATATAATAATTTTGGAATATCAATGGATGAAGCCTGGAAGGAAGTAAACGAAGAGCAAGACCTCCACCAAAATCCAAAGTAAGAAAGGTTTTGTTTTCTTTACTATTAAATTGCATTAATATATATATATATATATATATATAT